ACGTGAACAGGGGAATGCCAAATTCTTCAGCAGTGGAAGGTTGTAAGGCACGAATTCTAACATCATATTTTCTATAACCAGAGACTTCATTCCCTGATGATGAATCTGATTCATCTAATACAAGTGGGTAGGGTGGAGTTTTGCTCTCATAAGCAGTTCCAATATAGTTGCCACACTTGCGGCAAAGAAGTTTGGTTTTACGACCAAACAAACCCCAAGAGAGCTTTGAAAGGTAAGGAATGCAATGGAACTCATCAACCTGTGTAAATCTGCTCTCATCAATATTGAAGAATGATATGATCCCTCGCTTTATTGATTTTCCATATTTTGAGCCAATAGTTGAGGTTTTTCGATTGGAGGAGCCTAGGTTTAATTCATATCCACAAGAACCGCAGCTGCAAATGAGAATTATTTTTCACTGTTTCAGCTTCCAAACCATAACTTAAAGAGAACCATCCAACTACACAGAGTAAATAACAGAGTGTTTGCGATCATTACAAATTGCAATTGTCCAATGTACTGTCAAAAGAGGTTAGGTCTTCATATTACTCAAAACCAAGCCGATCAATATTTTACCAAATGCTCTTATTTTATTTACTTCAACAACAGCAGATTACTCTTGGCCCCCCCCAAAAAAAAGAGAGAAAAAAAAAAAGCAGCATCTAGAATGATATTGACAGAATGTAAAATTCAACTGCAACTCATCTAGATGGAGTACGTGCTATCCAAAATAGTCCATCCACGTCGCCTCACGGCCACTTCTTCCATTAACCAATCAATTAGTTAGCACTTCACTTTTAGCATGTTTAGCATTTACTATGGACTTTCAAATGGATTCATTAAAACCTACAAATTAAAGAGTTTGGTCCTACTTAAACACCTGCTTTCACCGGATAAGCTATAACTACCAATCCAATTAGATTAAGAAGAATTATAATCACAAAGATCTTTCCTTTTGATTCTTCCACTCCATTTGAAGATATCAAATTGACCACTACTACCCTATCCGGTTCAATTCTTGTGAATTTATCCTAAATGAGCCATTCCTCCACTCTAAATTATCCCTATTCTTATTCTTCAATCTTCAGTACAAAATCTAAAGCTTATAACCTCATTAAGCTAATTCTATCTCTTGCCTAAACAAAAACCCATCTGGGTCTATAAAAGATATCTATTTCCCAAAAAATTATTCAAGAAAATTACCGATATTTCCAGCATGCAATTCAACAGAAATCAATCATATTAATAAAAAAGTAAACCAACCCCCCCCCCCCCCCCCCCCAAAAAAAAAAAATCAATCTTTCTTGTTGAGTTTAGGGGAAACCTGTAGCTAACGTGTCTCTGAGACGCGGAGGAAAAGGAGTGATGGTGAATTTCACCGTCTGTAATGAACGCCGATTTCTGCATTCCTTCTCCCGAACCACCGGCCGTGATCGTGACGGAGACGGAATAACAGAAGAATAAGGATAAAGCAAATCAGTGAATCTTGCCGGGAGAAATAGAATTGGTGAATTATCGGTGACGGGACGCGCGGCGCCCTGATCGGAGGACTTAACGGCAAAGATATTGATGGAAAAGTAAGCAGTTTCTAGAGAGATGATAAATGGGAATCTATAGGAAGGAGACTGCCGCTCCCCTTCTGTTTTGGGAAAAAACTTATTTTAGTCCCTTATCTTATTAAATTTAAAGTTTTTAACCCTTTCTCTTATATTATAACATTTTTAACCATTTATTTTATTAAATTTATAAGTTTTAACCCCTCACTTATTAAAATTAAAAAAATAGCCCTTATTTGATACTGATTGTTAATTCTGTTAGTTGAAAATAGATTTTTATTAACTAAAAATCAACTAATAATCAATTAACAAAATTAACGAAATATTATAAAATTACTTCTGTTAACTGAAAAAATGTTTTTGACAATTAACAGTCAACTAACAATCAGTTAATAGAATTAACAGTTAACTAATAAAATTAATAAAATATTACAAAATGAAAGTTATTTTCTTCAATTTTAATAAGTGAGGAGTTAAAAGTATAATAATATAAGATGAGAGGTTAAAACCTAAAAGGTAAAGGGTTAAAAATGTTATAATATAAAGTAAACGACTAAAACCTTCCAACTTGATAAGATGAGGGGTTAAAAGTAAATTTTTGTCATTTGGTCTGTCGTCTGCAACGGAAACAATAGTGTTTAATTTATGAATAAAATAATAAATGGGTTAATGGCAAAATTCAGACTGCATATGGTGCTGCAAAATAAAAATTATTAAATAAAAATGAAAGTTTTGTTTTTATTTTATTATTAACATAGGAATTTTATTTATATTTTAAAATTATATTAAATTTAAATTATAAATTATTAAATTAAAAAATAAAATAAATTTTATTTAATTATTAATATTATATAATTTAATATAATTTTTAAAAAATTATGTAATTTAAGCAACATAATATTTTAAAAAAAATAATGCTAGGGGGAAAGGAATTTTATAAAATAATACCAGGGGGAAAGGAATTTTCATTTATTCATTTATTTTTTGCATAAAGGGGGAGAAATTCTAATAAGTTCTAATAAATTAAATTTTTATTCTTAAGTGAAGTCACAAGAAAACTCATAAATATTGTTTAGAATGGTTTTTCCTTAAAAAAAACACTAGCTTTTTTATTTTAAATTAGTACATTGTAAGTCAATTTTTTTTATTTATTTACTTTGCATATCATATACAAACTATGTACTTTAAAAAGAATATTATTTCTAGCCAATTAAGTCGTAGCTACAAGCACATGAATGAAACTATGACATCATTAGACTACTATACAAGTAATTAGTTTGCTTAAGATTGATAAATAAGTTAAATTACATTATTAAACGTGAGGTAAAGGTTATGATTTACAAGACATGTGTCCTTGTTTGAATCGTCAAGTGTGGGAATGATTGGTATGAACATGTCTTTTTAAGGGATTTTATTTTTATTGGTGTGGAGGTTAAGAAAAAATTTGATCACATACATATTTCAGGTGTTCTTTTTTTTTTTTTCTTTTTTTTTTCTTGTCATTTGAAATGAATATCATAATTGTTAGGTAGGATATTTCTTACCTATGATTTAGGGCCTTTTAGAAAGGTTGTATATTAGTAATTAATATGATGACTAGAGATTAGGGGACAATGCAAGTTACTTTAATTATGATAATAATTTAATCTTTTTTCTTAAACGAAATGCTATCCACATTCTTTTTTATACTATTTTGGTTTTGAATAAATCATGTTGCGTGAATTTTTTTCCTTATGGGGTTATATTTGAACTTTTAAAAATATTTTTTGGATTGAATTGTATTGAAATATAAAATATTAATTATTATATTTAAAGAGACTCTTTGATATTAAAAGAGGATTTTTTATTTAATAATTAATATTTTGTCATTTAGCCAGTAAATGGTGTTTTTTAATTTAAACAAGAAAACAACGAGCTCTTTTTAATCACACCCTGCTTGTGAATAGCATGGAAAGACCCGAAAGGGGCTTTGAACTACTGATATAGTATAAGGTTAAGCATACATAATGTATTTCACTGCTTCCACATTACACACAACAAGGTTGCCTGCAATCTCAAAGAAAAGAGAGAGGAAGGCAAAACAAAGAAGCAAGATGCGGATCAGCTAGCAGCTAGTCTTCCTCATCTTCATCTGTGACAAATTTACCATTCCCAGGATTCAGAGCTGCAATGAAGAAGAAGGCAACGTTAAACAGCACGAGGGGTTCAATTTCATTGATGGGGATTCCAGTCTCGATGTTTAGTTGCGCCAGAGCTCCTTTCCCTGTTATGATTTCTCCTATCAAAGAGAAGGCAATTCCCAACTGAGCCAGTCTCCCAACGAACAGCTCGTTTGCCTTTGTGAATCCAAACAGGGGACCTTCCACAACCAACACAGTAGAATTATCTCAGTACCTTTGTAATTTATCTTAGGGTAAATATAATATTTCATCCCTAAACTTAAATTAAGGATTTCAATTGGGTCTATACTGTTTTCATTGGGTCCCAAATTTATACCTTAAAATGTTTCAACAATACTTGTTTGGTTTTTTGTTAAATCGAAAATGGAAATATCCCTAAAAAAGAACAAAGAAAAGAAAAAGAATGGAAATTGATATTTCATAGTGAAGATCAAAGTTTTAAACTCCATCACAATGTTCATTTCAATTAAAATTTGTTATCCCTACTAAAAAATTAAGTAATTAATTATATATTTTTATATTTGTTAAGAGTCCTAAAGACGTGTTTGTAGATCCATTGTTTATTTTGGCTACAAAAGGGGAGCTATAATAAAGGAAAACTAAATGTGACTTCTTTTTTTATTTTTCGTTATATTCAACCTAAATCTAGATAGAAAAATGCAATTTTAACCATTCAAAAGGTTTTGGAGTGTAATTGACTAAAAAGAAAAAGTTAAGAGACTGAGTTGAAACTCCATTATAAGATCAGGTACAAAAATCTGCTATTTCACATATAATCTTTTTTTTAAATAGAAGAAATTAACGCAATGCAGAATAAATGGATACTGTACCTCCTTCTTTGAGACCCAGGGCTGACCTCAAGCCTTTGCCTGGAGGGATAACCGCCCCTTCAATCCCCGTCGGAGGGTCATCGACGAAGCGACCACGATCACCCAAAGCTCCTATTGCTCCGAGAAGGGTGAACAGAATGAAGAAAAGGAGAAGGGGCTCGGCTTCATTAATTGGGATTCCAGTCTCCAAATTCAATTGCTGCAGAATTCCTTTCCCTGTTATTGCTTCACCCAACAAAGATGCCTACATTTAACAAGAAAAAAAATGATCTTTTTTAGTTGTTGGAAACAAGATCCGAGGCAAAAAATGGAGAGATCTATGGATGGATGATTTTAGTTTTTTCTTACGGCAAAGCCAATCATGGCAACACGACCCACAAATAGCTCGTTTTGTTTAGTGAAACCAATGCCTCCTGAGGTGCCAAAGATACCATCTTCAACCTTTGGCGTTGGCTTCTCAACCTATGAAGAAAAACAAGAAATTTCCATGTTAATTACAACCCAAATTACCATTACTAAGTATCGTCAAGTTAGTGTTCATTAATCACAAAATCTTGAGTATTACATTATTAAGTCTGGGAAAAAAATTTTTTTTTTAATGTAAATTAGAAAGGGAAAAGACATTAAACCTTCTTGGGTGCAGCTTTGGTCTTTGATTTGAAGACGGCCAAAGTGGTGAATCTAATTGCTTGAGATGAAGCAAGGGAAGTGGGTTTAGAAAGTGGATTAAAGAGGAGATGGGAGAAGGGTTTAGGCTTTAAACTTTGGTGCCGGAGTTGGAGGAAAGGGGTACTGGGAACACTAGACATTAGCAACATGGTTTGAGCCATTAATCGGCTTCGTTTCTTAGCGTGAGAAGTGATGTTTCTTTCAATTTCTTCATGAATGGATCTGAAAATGAGTTAAAGAAGGGATATGTGGATCTGGTGAGAAAGGCATTGACAGGCAATTAAAGTGCCCACGTCGTTTAATTTCAGGCACCGTTACTTTGATCCAAATGTTAATCTGTGGTGGAGATGCAAAGTTGATGAAATTATGTCTCATTCACTGCACAGCCCAACCGAGTGACTCCACCATCTGTTGGAGAAGTGAATTTTGTCCTGTCAATATACAATGCAACAACTACGACAACAACACTTAAGTTTTTGTTTGGATTGGAGTTGGGGAGGGGGAGGAGGATGAAGAGAAA